CTCTACCTCGCCGCTGCCGCCACCACAACCACCTCCACCACCACCACCACCACCATCACTATCACCTCCATCACCACCACCATCACCACCGCCACCATCACTACCACCTCCACCTCCACCACCAGCGGCAGCTCACAGCCACCACCACCTCTACCTCCGCCGCTGCCGCCACCACAACCACCACCACCAACACCACTACCACCACCACCACCAGCTTACAGCCACCAGGCAAAGGGCTGTAATGGTGGCTTTGTTCTTTTATCAAAGAGGCGTTGCCTTATTATAATTCAGAGTGGTTTCCAGAAGCCTAGTGCACCACCCAGAGAGTAATATAAAAATAATCTAAAAACAGCAAGGAACCCAGTGCTTGACCTAGCTTCCCATTCGTCAGTGCGGTGCATCTGATGAGACCTTCTCCAAGGCCCCCGAAATCCTTTCACTGAACCCCCGTCCCGCCCCCAGCCCCGTGGATCCAGGTCTTCCCCAGTTGGTATAGCAGCACATTTCCTTGATTAGGATCCAGGCGGCCTCTGCTTCGGCTGGGAGCTGTACTCCGCTGACATTTAAGGCAGGAATTCCCTGGGAAAACAGTCAAGAGATTCTTTTGGTGCTGCTGGCAGGGCCCCAAAGGGTTTAGGGTTCCCCTCTCTAGGCAAATGGGAAGGGAGCGAGGGAGGGAGGGGAGAGAAACAGAAGGACTTTATTGAGTGACTGTATTTCATCTGGAGCTTGCACAAAAAAAGCAGAAATGTGGTGAGATGACTGGATACGTTTCTTACCCTTATCTCTTACCCAGCTACCATGACGGTCCAGACTGGGCTGGGTGTTTTAAAGGCTGCTGAGACATCCATAGTAAAAAAAAGAAAGAAGAAAGAACATCTGTAATACTTTCAACAATAAAGATAATGAAAATAAATCAGTTCTCAGGGCAGCAAAGAACTTTGGGATGGATCTAAGGGGTTGGGCCAAAATGTTTGCAATGGTCAATAATCAAAGTATAATCCGTAGTAGCAATCATTCCAAAATTGAACTTAAATTTGAACACTTGAAATTTGAACACTTCCCATCAAGGGAAGGTCACCCTCATTGGTGCCAGCTCATATACTTATTAGTACGAATGAAGGCCCTTCCCAAGAGCAGAAATGGTCATAATCTGTGACTCTCAACAGTCAAGTCATTCAGACAAACTTTCTCTTGCTTCTTTCCTACCTCACCGTGCATCCTTCTCTAAATTCTGTACTTCCGGTTTCATCCATGCAGAAGAAATCTACATCCGAAAAGCTCACAGGGCCTCTTAGAGGCGACAAGTCTCATGGATGGTTTCACCTGACCTGCATATCCTCATCTCTAGCTGCCCCTGGGCCCGCATGCCTGTGGCAGGGGACCAGTCATAGTCGTGGCCATGCCTTCTCAGCTCCCACCGCTACAGAGTCAACTAGGGGGTCCTTTCATCTTTCCCGCTTTTCCCTTTTCTCTTCGCCACATGATCTCTGATTCATTTTTAAACAGTCATCATCACTGATCTCCGGCTTGGAACCTGCCCATCGCAAACTTGCTGGGCTCTAGTTGCTGAAAAATCCCACAGCAACCCGTGATCCTATGGGATACTCTACAGTTAGAACCAGGTAATGCATCTGTACCATTCACTACTGTTCTGATGCTAAAGTGGTCTCTCTTGTTAGATATAAACTGAAGTTGTGGGCTACACGTATGTCTTACATTTCTTACAGTAATGATGATGATGATGATGATGATGATGATGATGATAAAAGTGACACAATACCATTGGGCCGTGGAAGGAGAAATGACAAGAGGTTGCCGTCTGGACTTTATCACTGAACTGTTCGTGGCTGTGGTCGGTCCACTTGGCCTTGTTGAGCCCAGTTTCCTCATCTGTGAAACGGAAGGGAGTGCTACCTCTCTACTCTCTTTTTCAAAGTCATGGCACGTCCAGATGCCCCCTTCACTCCGTTCTGGACTTGGAGCTCATCTCATGTGGTTCTAGAATACTCTAGTTCCCAAGACCTGCCCACGGAATCGTTCCCAGCATACCGGGATCATGCCCACCTGTCTAACTCTATCGCCAGGCTGTAATCACAGTAAGAGTGGGCATCTTAGTAATTAATTAGTCTTAGTAATAGTTAGGAATTCGTCTTAGTAACTAACTGCTGCATTCTCCGTACCTAGCATAGATCCAAGACACGTTTTAAAGAAAAGAACACTGCTGTGGAATAAACAATGAGTGAGCCTCAAGCAGGGTCATATTAGCAGAAGTGCTTTGCAAACGGAATTAATAAATGTAAGTAATGCTGATGCCGATGATACACAGGACATGCCATTATAAGTCAAGAAACCTATCGTGACAAACCTCAAAAAAGCCATGTGGCCTTGATCTCATTTCCCCATTGACCGAAGGCAATGGTGCCCTTTCCAGCTCAGGTCAGAGGGAGCCAGAATCTGGGAAATGTGAGCCTGGGACTGAGAGGAAGCCAGCGGGGGGAGAACCCACTGTCAGCTCTCCGTGCCTGTCTCGTGTGCTCTCCCCAGTGCCTCTGTTGAAGGACAGACAAGGACACCGGTTCTCTAGGGGTCAGTTTTGTACAGGTGAGAGGTGGAAGAGCCGGGACAAGGAATGTGTACCTTTCTCTAGTGAGCTCTTCTGCACCCAGCATTTGCCAGATTTCCACCACTTCTGTTCCACCGCCACACGTTCATCAGACCTAAGGCAACTGCTTCCCATTATTTTATAACATGTATATGCTTAAAACCAATTCATACTTTTTCATAGCACTGATCTATGCAACACTTAGGGTCCAGCACCAGGATGATATGTGAATTAGATTTTAATTTTTAATATATAATTTATCAGTTGTGTTGTGGGAGAGACTATTCTAAGAAACTATAAAATGGAGAAGGATAGAGGTGTGCTCTGATTTTATTTTATTTTATTACTAGAGGCCGGATGCAAGAAATCTGTGCAAGAGCAGGCCTTTGTTGCCTCGGCCGGCCCTCGTGGCTCCGGCTTCATCTGGAAGGTTGCCTGGACGGTCGTTCCACTGTTTGGCTGTTCGGTCAATTTGGATATTACACTTTTATTGTGATAGATTTTTTTGAGGACTTTTTATTATCTAAGGCACATATGTCATGGGCTTTGCTTCACACAGACTTCCATCAAGTGCAATGAAAAAATATTATATTTTTTATTACTTTATTTACCATTTTCAGTATTTTGCTAGCACTTTACTTATCTTTTTGCCTAAGATTTTTATGATGCGTGTTATGTTAATATATAACTTTCAGAAGCCCCCTGGCACCCATCTGGGTGTCTGCTGCCTCCACGCAGAGGAGAGACACTCCTTGGAAACGGAGGTAAGGACGAGAAGGATTCGGAAGGCAATGCCAAGAGGGAATGTCAAGAGGGAGGAAAATGAAGATTTGTGTGTATCTCATGTCAAGGTGGCGAGAAATGGTCAGCCCTCAAGGCTACACAGATCAAGGAGTGTTCGATGGAGCAGCACAGAAATCGTTACAGAATTAATTACTTTGGAATCAAGGATTTGCATTTTTCAAGTGCAAGGCGCGCGCTCTGAGGTCCACTGGTAACTACATGCAGATGCGAGAACGGTTTGAGCAGAGGCAGTCCTGTCCTTGGGCCCAGGTGGGGGCCCCTGCCCTGGGCCCCGCTGTAGGAGGCTCTGTCCCTCCTCTGGGAGCTCCAGTGCCTTGGCTCACCGAGCCCCTCTAGGCCACACGCCCCATATCCCGGACTCTCTGCTTTCAGCAAGGGTTGGCCTCTTCTTCCGTATTCCTCTCCCCAGCGGGGCCACACTGCTGAAGGTCAGTGAAAAATTGGACGGGTTTTGGGCTGTTTTGAAATATTTGAGATGCAGCCTGTGCAGAAGCAGGTTTATAAACAAGAGGACCACCTAAAACCCCTCTCTCTGTTTAGGGATGTGAAATTAAGCTTGGTGCATATATTTGTTTGTTTTTTTGCTGTAGACTTCTACTGATAGAAAAGGGAGGGTTTATGCTCATGTTTAATCTCATTACTGTATTTAGAATCGAGAAAACAAATTTTCCAACAAAACAGTTTGGCTGCTTGTGCTGGGTCCTGAGCTGTGGCTGTCTGTGGCAGTGTTTCCTTTATCAGGTGAAAAAAACAAACTCAGCCCACACTGGGTTAGCCTTCCATCTGGTTAAGATTTGGGACCCTGGCCACACCAGGGAGGGAATCTGTCCTCATTTCCGGAAGCTCTCAATGTGCAGTTGGGATAACTAACTCAGTCTTATGTTCAGAGGCTTCTGGAAAGAGGGTGCAGACATTGACCCACCTGGCGGGCTTGTTGGGGGGTGGAGACCGATGGTAATTCCGATTCGCAGGAGCGCGAGGGCCGTGGGCAGACTCCGTGCGGCCGATGCTCACACAGAGCAAACCTCCCTTTCAGTTACTGCAATGGCTTCTCCCCACGGCCTCACAGCAGAGGGCCCTCTGAGGCCTTTGAAGGCAATTGTTCACTTTATGTCTGGCAAAACGGACACATGGCTCTGGTTGCTTTGTACAGAAGAGCTGGTCTACAGCCGTTGGCCGCTCTGCCCGGATCTCCTGCTCCTGCGACCCAGGATCCCGTGGTCCTCTGCTCTGCTCTGAGCGTCCAGTGGACCCCACGTGTGCGGCAGTGACAGAGGTGGAATGAACCTGTGATGTAACCAGGGAGGTTCTTGCCCCGATGCTGGTGCTGACCTGATTGTCCTGATTCCTTTGTCAATTCGGTTGCTTGGCAGATTGTAAGCTTGAGCAAATGGCTTTTATATATATTGATTTCAAAGAGAAAGGGAGAGGGAGAGAGGGAAACATCAATGATGAGAGAGAGTCATGGATCGGCTGCCTCCTGCACGCCCCACACTGGGGATTTAGCCCAAAACCTGGGCATGTGCCCTGACCAGGAATCAAGCCATAGGTCCACACTCAACCACTGAGCCATGTTGGCTGGGCTTTTGGTTTTTTATTTATTTTATTTTATTCTAATTTTTTTTATTACTCTGTTTCCATATTCATTAGCCACTGTTAGCTCCACCTCAGATGGGATCTTTCTGTCTTCCACCTTTTTCCTGTTTGCTCCTCCAACCTCTTAGAAGCTGTTAGGTAAGTTTTTTCTTAAGCCACATTCTTGAAGTACTAAGTAGCCACCGAGCCTCATCTATGAGCCACAAAAGAAAAATAAGGCATGATTCCTACTCATGAGATGAGAGAAATACACGTGAGAAGGGAATGATGCTCCATGTTTCACATTATTGTTACAGGATGGCACACAGGAGTCAGCTTGGATCTTACAGACAATAGAAGGGAGGACACATTGGAGTTGATTCTGTTATTTAAGATCAGAATCTGGGGCCGAAACCAGTTTGGCTCAGTGGATAGAGCGTCGGCCTGCGGACTGAAAGGTCCCAGGTTCGATACCGGTGAAGGGCATGTACCTGGGCTGCGGGCACATCCCCAGTAGGAGATGTGCAGGAGGCAGCTGATTGATGTTTCTCTCTCATCAATGTTTCTAACTCTCTATCTCTCTCCCTTCCTCTCTGTAAAAAATCAATAAAATATATTTAAAAAAAAAAGATCAGAATCTGGGGATGT